CTCACGAGTATTGAAAGTTTCGAAGATTGTGCAAACTGATGGGAGAAAATGCAGAGGGATGCATGCTTTTTCACTCAAATTTCGAGTGCTTTGACAGACTGTCCAATAGCATGACAAAATGTGCTTGTATTAGTGAAAAGTCGGCTAAAGTTTCCTATAAATTATAGTTAAAAATATTTACCGTTATGTCTGATAAATTAAAAAATAATTATTCAGTTATGCGATTACATATATAGAACTCAAAGAGTTTCTGCGCTGAAGTAAAGATAGTGCTCATATAAAAACAAGGGATCAAAAAGAAAAAGAAAAAACGCAGTTCAAGCGATTATTGGCTTTTGAAGAAAAAAAACGGACAAATTGATTACGCAAAAACCGCACTCAATCACCTAGCAACATAAATATTATAACAATTAATTGAAAAAACTACTTAAAAGCCCAACCTAACGATTGACACATTGCATACACACCTACATATGACGAGTAAAAAAGACAATAATATTTGACTTGCAGCAGCTAAACCGAAGTAAAATTAAAAAAATAAATAAAACAAAAAGAAAATAAAAAAACAATTATTAGCTTTTTTTTTAATACAGAAATTTCACCGTTCTATGCATGCGTTACTTCAGCAAACCTTTTCACTCTTCTTTTAAGCGCCTAAAATAATATGAGTGAAATCACACGAATTTGTCTCAGTATTTCACTCAGTAACACAATCTATATGCTTATAATGAACTATTAAAGCAAATCATAAAATATGGTAAGTATGTTTGTGTTTATGTAAATACTCAAGTGTCAATATCAATAGTGGTGCAATGTAGTATGCCAGAGCAACTGCTTAAGTATTTAAAACAACAAATTTCGTAGGTATGAGATGCCTGGTACCTAAAACTACTGCTAGAGCACTAAACTATAAATAAGTATTCATGTAAATAAATGAAAATAAGCCGAAAAAGCTACATAGGAATACATAATTATATCTTCTTATGCTCGTTGCAGGGAAGAGCTGCTTCGTGTTCAGAAACTCTGTTTTTTTTTGGTATATGGTGAAATGAAGGAGATTCTCCAGGAATCGTTTAAGTCATCATTGTCTTGAGATTATGTGATGGATGGATGTGCATGTGTATCAATGTGTGTATATTTAATGATGTTAGGCGCCTTGCTGTGCGGCATATAGCGAATTTAGAGACCGGGTTTAGTACTGTCACCGACACCGCTGCTGCTGCTGCTGCTGCCCGCATCCGAGGGTATAGGACTAGCTGTGGCGCTGCGATCATAGTCAGAACTTATGCTATCATTAGAAGTAATAATTTCCTAAAAATAGCACAACAACAAAGAACAAACCAATTTGAAAACAAATGCACTACGTAAGCACTCGAAAAATGCAAAGCCAATAATATACAGCAAATTTAAAAACTTTGACAGCACATACATCTTCCTTCAACAACTCAAACTCACCTCATCTGCGTCGGTATTCTTAACAATCGCCTCTGGTATGTGCACCCCTGCCTCTTCAGCCTTTTCTGCCCATTCTTTCAAGTAATCAACTATAGCATGATGACCGAAATTCTCCGCTTCATCAATGGGCAAATTACCCCAACGATCCTTTGGATTATGTGGCACCTGACAGTGCTCCAATAAAAATTTCACACAGTCCAAATGACCTTCGGAGGCGGCTAAATGTAGCGCCGTTCTGCCATCATAGTCGGCCAACGTGATATCCATGCCGGAGAGGCGATGACGCCGTAATGCTGTCACATCACCGCTGGCCGCCGAGAATAGCAGATTGACAATTGACAGTCCTTTAGTCTCGTAACGATGTTTACGTGGATCCTTCTTATCCGACGCATGCTTCAGGTTATCGTAGCGATGGAAATTGAAGACGCTAACTAACTCTTCACAAAATTGCACACCACGCACACTATTTCCAAGCTTATCAAGTGGCGGTGACCATGTAAAAATGCCCATGACATTCGGTATGACTAACATCATGCCGCCGGAGACACCAGATTTAGCGGGTAGACCCACTTTGAAGGCGAATTGGCCGGAGTAGTCATAAGTGCCGCACGAATGCATTATGGAAAGCACATCTCGTACAACTTCGGGACGTAGTACCTTCTCCTCGGTGGTAGGACAAATGCCACCGTTCGCGAGGGTAGCGGCGATCACGGACATTGACTCGCAGGTCGTCTCCATCGAGCAGCACTGTAGAAGAGAGATTTTATTGAGGGATTGTTGTAAATATTATTGAAAAAATCCTCAAAACCAACTCGGAAATTTCAGTTTTTTAAGAACTGTAATAAATTTCAATAGCTTAAAAGCACTAAATGATTAAGGTTGGTACCTAAAAATATACAACGCCTACTTAGAAACATTGCATATTTTTAGGCCCATATGTTAGTCATTTGGAGATTTTTACCGAAAGAAATTGCGGACTATAGTAGAATCTCATTGCATATCGATATTTTTGTTTTTTTTTTTTTAACAACAAAAATAAAAACGTTGTTTCATATTTCAAAGGGACATATCGCTAGCTTAGAGTGAAAAGTTGTTAAGTCCACTTTTTATGAAAACTCATATTTTGATATAGGAGGCTAGAGAAATTGAATACGCATCGTTTCGAAAATTATAAAGGTACTTGTTTTATTTTTTCCTCTTCATAAGCAAAAAAGGAAAACTTGCTAAGACCAAAAGAAGCACCGCAAATCCGATAAGGCCAAAATAATACGACATATTTTAATAAATATAATAATATATTTTTAAAATGGGACTTAGCAACTTTTCTTTCTAAGCTAGCGATATTAGTTTTTAATTTTCTGTGGACTAGTGGTTCTTTGTAAAAAGATTTTGTTTGAAAATACCCCTAGTCAAGTTTTTTGCCGAACAATTATTTAGAACATTTTAACCCTTTAATGATCTCCCAAATGTCATTTTCGAGACTTTCTAAAATAGGGCACCAAACTACTTTTTATAAAATGTTATAAAAAAAAAATGCAGGTAAGCTGAATGCATCTATCGGAGCAGTTTGCTTATGAATGTTAAAAATAATGCCGCTGACGCACATTTTGGGGTACGTATCTGAAATGTGCACTTAAGCATAAAAGCAGCAAAAAAAATATACTCTATTCTATAATATCGTCTTCTCTTGTAAACATGAATATTTCTATTCGAACTTGTTCGCTTCTTTTGCATTCTGAAATATTGATATGGAGATACTAAACATTTCATGCCTTTTTCAGATTAAAGGAAATCGATGAGCTTAATGAAGAAGCCTGATGAGGAGATGTGGTTATTTCCTTACAACTTCTACCTTTGTAAATTATTATTGTTTTCCACAAACATAAATAACAGCCCCAAGCTCAGTAGAACTGTTGACTAAAAAAACGAAACTATAAAACTGCAAGCTCGAGTTAAACGCTAAAAACCTAAAATTTGTCTACCTATCTATCTACGACACGGCATTAATTTCAGTACGCTATTGGCCAGCAGCACATAAAAGTGGCGACAATATGAAGCCATTGATCGATTTTAATACGATTTCGTACAAGGGGATTTTGGGCTCGTTGATTACGAATCTCAATTCAGATTTGGAAAATTCAAAATTACGGATGAATTAAAAAAAAGTTTACATTTTTATGAAATTGTATATAAAGGGGTTTATGGGGTAGCTGAAGTCAGATTTGGAATATTCAAAATGGCGGGCCCCATATGAAATTTGATAATGAATGAGTAATGGATAAAACGAAATAGGCGGGGCCTAGTTGTACTGCTACAACAACCCGAGCTAACAAGATTTAAAGGTTGACCACTCAGTTTACTAAATTAATTTTACGAATATTTATTCCTAACTATCAGTAAAATATATGTAGATACATATGCTTCTCCAGCCTTACCTGGAAATAAAAGTCCATCACTTCCTTGAGATTCGTACGCTTTGGATAGCATTTATTCTCGCGCATATAAAAGCCCAAAGCATAGTTGCGATCGGCAGCTTCTCGTTCCGACAGGAACACTGCATTATTGAAACCAATATTTTCACCACCTGACAAACGTTTGAACCACTGCAGTGTGTAGTCGAACTTTTCAGCTGCTGTCATATCTGGCTTAATTAAAGCCTGCAGCAATGAGCAGGTCAGTATGGCGCCCGCATTGATCATAGGGTTGTGCGGCTTGTCTAAAGTGGAATAAACAAAAACAGAACAATAAAATAAATTTACGCGCCATTTCACATTTATGCTTAACAATTTCCTGCTTCACACTTACTATTATGATCCAGCACCAATTCATTGAAATTGCGACCACTTGGCTCTTGGCCCACATACGAATGCACCACCTTCGGTCCCAGCTTCTCCAAGGCAATGGCGTACGTCAACGGTTTGCTGTAATCATAAATTGTGCAGTGATTTAAATCGATTGAAATAGTTACGAACCTTTACATTGTTTTACACATTTGCAATGTAAGAAACAAACAAATAACACAAAATGAGTGAGTATTATTGGTGGTTGAACGAAGGTGAGATAGGTGATGCAACGTCAAGAGCGACGGCGATGGCGACGACGACGACGACCGCGACGATGACAAAGGCTGTGGGGCAATCAANCGAAGGTGAGATAGGTGATGCAACGTCAAGAGCGACGGCGATGGCGACGATGACGACGACCGCGACGATGACAAAGGCAATCAGCAGAAACTTCAAGCCAACGTCACTAAAACCGCTCATGTTACGCCGAGTAGATGGACAAGAACAAAGAAAACCGCTGCCCATTAGACAACCGTAACGAAATGATTTTCCGACTTGAATTCGGTCTTTGCTCAAAAGCTAACGACAAGGCGAGCGGATAACAGCGACAAATGCGACAAGGCAAAAGTTGCTCTGAAAGAAGTTTAATTAGTTTGGGAAATATTTGCAAGAGAGTATTCATGACTGTGTACGTGAGTAGGTCAGTGAATGTAGTCAACGCTTTTCGCTGACCACCATCCAGTGCAGGGAAGTCCCAGCCGCGCGCGAAATCTCGCCTGTTTGAATGCGCCACGAATGATGACCGCATGCCAATTTGAACGAGTATGTATCAATGAACCGGTTGTTTGTATGAGCACCAATGAACGTCACGTGAATGAGTGCTTCACGCTCAGCATTTTTCTTTAGCTTTGTTGACATTATGCACAGACAAGCGATATTTACCTGCAACTCTGCAAAGTGAACGGTATATCCACATCGCCAATAGAGAAACGCTGACCATCGATCGTACAGATGCTCACACCCCACGAATCGGAGCTGTAGCGCGCCAATTGCGGTATGTAATTGGCAACAGCACCATCGGTATTCGTCTTGCATTTCCAATAGATATCCTCGACATCCTTGACGAAGCTCACGAAATCCGGTATGATGAACTGTTGTCGGAACGCCTTGGCAATCAAGACGATATTCTGCGCGACGACACTGCAAAGGCGAGAGAAAGGAGTATGAAAAAGGCGAAATTAAACTCAGAAAAAAAACTTATTNCGATATTCTGCGCGACGACACTGCAAAGGCGAGAGAAAGGAGTATGAAAAGGCCGAAATGGAACTCAGAAAAAAAACTATATTTTTGGTCATAACTTACGCTTTAAAGGTTTCACGATTCAGGTTCTGAGTTTCAGCTGACGAGCCGGTTTCATAATTGGACAGCTTGTGCACCTTCTTCAAGTTCTCCATCAATTCGCGTATGCGTGGGTCGCTGCGCCTGATGCCGGTCGTCTTGAGTGCGGCCAGAAATTTGCCCATCGAGATGAGTCCAGTCTCCTCATTGTAAAACATATCGAAGAGTACATCCTCGGCATTGCGTTGTTCTTGCTCCCGATGGCTGTTTGTATGTTTTATGTAGTGGCAGAGTTGGGGAAAAATTTGCAAAAAAACAAAATTAATTAATTAGCAACTTGTGGCTAAGTAATTATGAACTATACTACTTTTCGGGCATTAGTTAATAACTTTGTGTTAAAAGCTAGCAAAATGGAAAGCTGTTAGTTGGTACGCGTTGACACATTAGCACAAGCTGGTTGGTANATACTACTTTTCGGGCATTAGTTAATAACTTTGTGTTAAAAGCTAGCAAAGTGGAAAGCTGTTAGTTGGTACGCGTTGTCACACTAGCACAAGCTGGTCTGTATGTGTAAAACATGCACACCTACATACAAGCGAATGCTCTTGCACAGACGTACGTTTACAAATCGAGATGGTGAAATTTTCTAGAGATCTTTTAAATGTACGATGTGTACATACCAGATAGCGGAAAGAAAAAATCCAAAGACTACTTCAAAACTCAGGCGCAAAATCAACTAACTCAACATAGTGTCCATTTAACTAAGTATGCTTGAGTAAAGAGCAGAGAGATGGGAAAATACATGAATGAACATTTATGCATATTTAGATAACTTATGTAAACTACATATGCATGTATGTATCTAAGTACTTATGCACTTAAGTAAGTGCCATTCGAAGGTAGCTAAGATATCGTAGTGACAATATGCACTCAATGTAGTTGCACACATGAGTATATGTACGCATGCTTGCTTGTTTGTTTTATTAAGTCACCTATGACTAACGGTTAGAAAAATTTGCAAAAATTGCCATACAATTTAATACTATGCTAATCTAATGAATGTCTGAATGAAGGTGGTAATAGGCGTGTAAAGATGCATATCGGTACGTATCTACTAGTAGGTATGCATTCACTCCGCACGCTTTATATGTATGTATGTAAATTAGGGTGCGTCACCCTGTAAAGAAAACAAAATAAAATTTTCCATCGCACATAAGGCAAAAGTTACAATTTAGCTGGACAAAAATCTAAAATTGCAATGATATTTAATAACTAAAGAAATACGTATGAACGTTCCTTAATGTTTGACTAACTAAGGCACAGTATGGGCAGGTTTCGGCAACTCAACTTAACCTAATTTAGCCATTTTTTGGACTTAAGTCAAAAGTTAGCCTACTTTTTATTCAGCTTATTCTTGACTAAGTCCAAATAACTGGCAAAACTAAGTTAAGTTGAGTTGCAGAAACCAGCCCTATTAGTTATGGAGCAACATTTTGCAATATGTTAATAGAGTACGCGCAACTTGCCGAATGCATATCGTGCACACAGGCACCTCAATCAGCCATACGCGGTAGCTCTGTATTAATTATAGTAGGTATGTGTGGATGTAACTTTTTAAAATGATTTTTATATTAAAGAAGGGCTATTTACAAGTAAGTTTTTATTTTTTCAATAGTTTACGTATAACAGTTTTAAAAACTAGAAAATAATTATTCCGTAGATGATAAAAAACAGTGCCCCGGAGTACCCTGGATTTGATTTTTATAAAAATATTCTTTGATTCGTTTAGAAAACCCTCAAAAAAATTCATGTGTCCATTTGAACCACTTTAGGAGTAATTGCATTTTGTTTACAGCTACCAAGTAATATATTCGCCTCACGTGATTGACAAATAAAAACTATAAACATTCAAAAGCAAAACTATGAATCTCCAAATTTTTACTTTCCTACGAAACCCCCATGTTGTACAAGATCAACCAGCACAATATTTTTCTGTTACTATTACTTATTTCTTGTAAATATCAAAATGTAAATATCATGTTTCATAACAAATAATAAAACCATTTTTCGCAGGGGTCAGTAAATTTATATTTTTATCAATCCTGTCATTTTTGCTTAAATTGTTTTAAACCACATATAATATTAATTTCCCACACCCCAAATCAATTTTATTAGTTAGTTATTTTTATCCAGCTAAATCGACACTTTTGCCTAGCGTGCATCGAGAATTTAAAATTTATATTGTATGACTTCCGCTAAAATATTTTGGATAAATATTAAAATTTGCATGAAATGGTCCAATTTGAAAATACCTCCAAAAATCTATTTTTTATAAAAACTAGTTTATAAAAATATTTTATTCCAAAAAGAGTTAAAATAAAAAGCCTGCATACAAATTTTATCAATTTTATCAACGGAATTAAAATAATGAGATTTTTTGTAGATCTTTTCAAAACGGGCTAGCGCACGTAAATTTTAATACTTTTCCAAAATATTTTGGCGGAAGTCTTAAAATATGTACGATAAGTTTTACAATTCCGGTGGAAAACCGCATATGTTTGTTTTTTTTTTTTGTGATGCACTCTAATGTATGTACATTGCGGTGGTCCAAAAATCCGTGTAAAAAAGTGAAAGTCGAAATTTTAATGCACTCTCCACTAGGATTGTTCTAAATATACAAAAAAAAAACTATACCCCTTCTTTTTTAATTTGACACCAAAAAATATTTAGAGGTCGCTCAAAACGCTCAAAGTTATCTATGTAATTTATATGGGAAAAAATAGTTTTCGTGGAAATGGTATAGAATTCTTTAAAATCAATATTTTTTGATCAGAAAACTCTCTTTCTCTTCAGGAAACTTCAAATAACAATACCATATCGTTTATTTAAACATTTTTTAATAGTAACTATTTGTTACAGGATCTCTAAAGACCCCAAAAATTCAATGGAGGGACTCATAAAAAATCGAAACAGAATTTTCTTATAGAAAAATATTCTTTTTCAAGATTTCTATATCATTTATATGAAAATGTTTTTTCTCTTCTATAAAATATATGCAACCACTAAATCAATTTTTAAAACAAAAAAACGGGTATACTTTTTTCGGTAGAGAACAATCTAAGGAGGTGAGAGCATTAAAGTTACGACTTTACTTTTTGTGGACCACCCTAATGATCATACGAGTATAATAACATGGAAAATTATCTACTACATGCCTTTTATGAGCCTTGTATTTGTACTACATCGAGCCCTAACCGCCAAAATAACGTAAGCGACACGTTGTTTTGGCGGTTAGGGCTCGACATAACATTTTGAAAAAATTCTGATGAGTTTGCTGCAGATTGAGTTACATGCTTGCAAGAATTACTTAGAAGATCGAATAAAATTTAATGTTAGATTCAGAAGAAATGCGGGTCTTCATTGAAACTTCGCTTCAATGTACAAATTTTGTAAGTACCTTCATTTTTCAAATACTAGTTGGGGTTTCGGGGAAGGCGTCAACTTATGGTCATTTGGCTGCTAACTTTCATTCTCAATATGCTCGTAACTGTAGATGTTGAATCTGTCTATTTATATAGAACACATACGGCGGCCGCTTTACCCGAATGGTTAGTGGTCAGTATTACCTCGCCGTTGGACCAAGGTTTGATCCCCGTTTAAAGCAAAATCCCAAAAAAAACAGACATTTTATATAACAAGTTCATTTCTTATAAAGTCCTTTTGCCATTCGGAGGCGGTGTAACAACAACAAGACCCATACTAATTGGAACAGGAGCTTTTCACCGAGCTTCTTAGAAAAAAGTGTAAGCGCCAAAAGACGGCACGAATACCTCAACTCTTACATATATATTAGCACTGCCACGAAGAGGTCTATTATTCCCTCAACCACTTCACCGTATATCATCCAACCCCAGAACTCCAAGAAATTTGATGAGGTCCAGTAGTCAGCGATTGTATAATTTCAACACTTGGACAAAGTTCACCTCGATACCTCACTCGTCTCCTTGCCTCCGCCTCGCACTCGCGAGGCAGTTGAAATGGAGTCTCTTCGAATGAATCACAAAAGCGGCATAGGTCGTTTGACCATATCCCCAGCTTATGCAGGTGGCTTCTCAGTCCACACTGACCTGTCGGCATACCTGTTAATATCTTTAGCCTTTCTTTGGGAAGGTTTATAATCGCCCTTGTAAGATTGTGGCTTCCCAGAAAGCATTTAGCCCGGCGTAGTGTTAAGTCAGTGCTGTTCTCTAAGTATGTTCCGGCCCTATGGAAGACGACGCGGCCGCCATTCGATAATTCCTGCGTGGGTTAATCTCTACACACAGACTAATCGCATAGACCTCAACCTAGATATGCTCGAATATACTCCTACGGGCAACGAGAGCCCCATCCTTGGTCCATAGATGCTTATACCAATGCCTTGAGGAGTTTTGGAGCCTTCTGTATACTATTGCTGAGAGCTAACCTTAATGAAAAACTCTACCTTGAATTTCCTCTCAAAGACTACTTAGTTGGGCTTTTCATCATACGTGACTATTGGTCTAACTATCTTGGTTTACATCCATCTCAGGATTTTAGGACTACATCCCCGCTTGCCTACGTGACCTTGGAAGTGATCGCTTCAACATGTGTCTTCCACAGAAGTTTTGAATACCGGATGAAACCCAGGTACTTAACCTCAGCGGTGAATTTAACGGCGACCCCTTTGAAAGTAGTATTGCTCATACCTGTAATTGTTAATTTCATAGAAAATGAGGGGTTAAGGTTGATCTTCAGACCCATTCCCAAACACCAACCTCTTGCTAAGTTTAGTCCCCCTTAAACTATGTCACAGAGAGTACTCAATAACTTCCCTACAGCAACACAATGTCACCTGCATAACCCTGACAGCAAATGTCAGTTTCAAGTGAAAGTCTGAAGGAGTTCCTCAACTAAGCTCCACAAGAGGGGTGATAACACTTCTCCCTGCGGACATCCACTTGTTGTTTGAAGCTATGCCACGCTGTCCTCGATGTCGGTTTCATCTCTTATATAGTCGGGCCCTAATGCTTTAGGAACCAATATGGGGCCTGAAAAATTCTATGACAACCAACTTCAGATCTGTCTTTGGGTCTTAATAGTATGTTGGTAAGAATGGAGAAATCGGCCTTTGATGACTATGAATTTATATGAATAGTTTTAATTATATATGTGAATGTAAAATTTATCAAATTTCACTTTTTCAAACATTGGTAGAAGCCCAATAAGGGGGTGTCCTATAAAAAATTTACATTTTCATACTTTTAAGGATCACCATAGTATATATACATATGTACTTTAATTTACTGAAATTTGGCAGGAAGGCTCTTACTAGAGTATAATCAAAATTTAAGAGCAAATAATAAGACGGGAAACTTATAACATAAGCAAAATAACAGACAGACATTACGGGTCTTCACACCGAGCTCGTTGCTTCGTTAGTTGGCAGTTGCGTATATCTTTTTTTTTTTGTAAAACTAACGAATCCAACTAAAGCGCCTAAGCGCCATGTGATAAAGCGTCACGATGGAAAGCTTCTCAATTTGATCGGTAGAAGGCAAAATAACAAATAGTTGTTTAACATTCGAATTTAGTTGAAAATGATGGCGCGAAGTAACATACAATAAAAAGGTTATGTTTAAGACATTAATTGGAAAAGGAAATTTCTCTAAATCATGTGCTGCGAAAGATCATTACCAAACTAACGGAAATAAGTCATAAAGATCGTTTACAGAAAAAAATAAATTGTAGAACGGCCAACCAACGAACCGCCAAACTTGGTGTGAAGACCCCAATTGATGCTAATTTGTCTTTTTAAATGTAGCTAGAACCACAGTGTACACGTAGAACGATGTCGAACACATAATATGTATGTACAGCAACTTAAAAAAAAAATATTCACTCAAAAGTTATAAAACAAATACCAAACTTTCAAAAACTACATAAAATGCCGCTCACTGGAGCAATAGAGGTATTCTCGAAGTCTTGCATCGATTGTACGTATTTCATGTTAAAAACCGGTTTTCCAGTGGGACAACTGTGCAAACCGTGCAATCCGTGCACCATGCAAGGGGCTTGCAAGACTTCGGGAATATCCTAAATATATAACTAATGCAACAACAACGATAATAGATCAAAATTTCAATGTAACGGAATTGAGTAACTGGTTTAAATGTTTTTTGGCAATGCATCAGATATGTATGTATGTATGGTATGAATATAAGTAGTGAATAAAAACGAATGTACTAAGAAGAAAATTTTGGAAGCAATTTTTTTTCAAATTTGAATTTTACTCACGGTCGCATCGATAAGAAACGCTTCTGTAGACTACACCAAAGCGAATTCATAGTGATTGGAAAAGACAAAAAAAAAACAAAGTACATACAAATATGTTTCAGTATTATAAACATTTGATGGCAGACAATATAAACAAATTAAAGCAATTAATTTGAATGCTATTGGTTTGCCTGTTTGTCTCTATGTACTACACATACATATGTATGTGTTTGTATGAGTATTAGCTGATTGATAATGATTTTTTTTTTTTTTGTAGCGAAGAGTATGTAAAAATATATATGTATGAATTGCTTGACAACAATTAAATTAGCAACAATTTATGTATGTAAAATAAAGAAAATACACATATTTTAAGATTCAAAAAAAAACGTTTCAAATCTCTGAATAACATCTTACTGATTTATAGCAAAATGTGCTGATTTTGAAACACTCTTATAAATTAAATACAGATGTGGGCAGTATATGTATGTATGTATGTATATGCATTTACGGCGCGTGCCAAAAGATGAGACTGGGCCCTGCGAAATTGTCAGCCGACGCGTTTACATAGACAACAACACTGTGCGACAAAATGTATGGGAAAAGTTTAAATAAACACTTA